GGGGGGGGGGGGGGGGGGGGGGGGGGGGGGGGGAACGCCCTGAGAAATGGGTGGGCCGAAGAGGTGTGGGAGAGACGGGTGAAAAACCCACGCTTTTGGGTGGGCAGGACGCCGTTGCTTGCATTGATTATACCAGTTCCTGATTTATTTTGCTTGTCCATGCCTTATCCCCATGATGAATCGTATTTAGCTGCTTTCCTTCCGTCTGTGAGGCTCTTTCACCGGGTCTTAGGGCTAAAACCGCTCCGAAAGGGAAAGGGGCCACCTGGAGTCTTCACTTTCCACGTCCGACGATGACCGCATTCGCTTGATCGAGGGGGAAATTGTGGCGGTGGGGGGGGGGAAAGATTGCTCTTGACGAAGTTTGGGCCGAGAAAGGCTTTTCGCGAATTTCGAGTTCGCGTGTGAATCGGCGGGGTGGGTGGACAGGGATCTGTTTCATGCCCTGTCGACGCATTAGAGCATGTGAAAATAAACCCCCTCGATGTGATGTGAATTGCAGGGGTCTGGTCTAAACATGAGATTACTTTTTTTTTTTTGTTCCCCCATGGAGCGATCGAATGAAGAGTCTCGGTGGGCCGGGCTTGCCCAACTCGCTTTAAATTCGTGTGGCAAGGCGTCCGGCATCCGGCTGCTTACCGGTCGGACTGGATTCCGGGGATCGTTGTGATACGATACGTATCTCGTGGGCTTGACCTTTTCCTGCGTCTTATCGGGGGGCTTGTCTTCGGGGATGCGGCGCATCTGTTTTCGGTTTGCGTCGTTTCGATACGATCCTTTGGAGAAATGCCGCCGGGTGACGGCGTGAGGTCGTTTCGGGGTGGAAAGCGATGGCTTCTGGTTCGCCGGCTTCTTGGTGAGCGGCGTGAGGCGTTCAGAAGGGAAAAAATAGGGGCGTGTTCGGATCGGCGATCCGCATTCCTGGAGGGACGGGCTTTTCCTTGCCGTCGTTGTATATCCAAGGTAGAGAAGGGCTTGTGTGCGATGACGTGACGTAATGATCGGTGACTGTACGTGAGGCCGTCGCCAGGTCGTCTTCGAAACGCGCTGTACTCTGCGATAGGAATCTCGTGCCAAGGTCGCATCTTCCAGTCGGCGTTTCCTCACCTATTTCCACGCTGCGCTCTGCTCGGCGAGAGATTTCTATCTCCGATTTGATGAAAAGAGCGAGCCAGGTGGGTGGGGGCACGAGGAAAGGTCAGCACGTGGTTGAGATGTCTGCAATTTAGGACTGGAGGGCAGCCCATTCATCATGGAAGGGGGTACCCCCCCAAATGATAGCCATTCTGTCTCGCCTCCAGTCATGACTAATACTCGTCTCGGTGACGCTCTCTCCGCATCCCTCCGGGTCATGGAACCGCATTTAAAATTTCTGTAGGGGCGAAAAGAAAAAAAAGCAATGAAACGAAAGGATGGCGGGACGGGGGAGGGTTACCACCGCTCAGCAGGAGGATGCGAGGCGGTTATCCTCTGTCGTATGAATGAGTCACACGACACAGATGCCTTTCCTAATCAGTCTTCCTCCCTCTCCAAGTAGGGCCATATGCCTCACCCTCACCTAGTCTGTGCCTGGCTGCTTTTAGCAAAGCCATATATTGCAGCGCTTCCTTTTTAAAGAATGATAACTGGAGGCGTGATTGCGTACGACTTCTTGCTGGATTTTGAAATCCGGTTTGTAAGGATGTTTATTTTGATTGCTATGCGTGGTTGTTTTTTTTTTTAATTATATATATTTAAAGAGCGTGTACGTTCTGTTTCCCCAGGATCCGGCCACAAATAGCGCGAGAGATCATCGGAATGTGTCGAGTGTGTACGAGTACCACTCCAGGAGTGCCACAAGTGTGGCTGGGATCCGACGAGGCCTTCACGTATGACTATGTCTTTGACATGGGCAGCACCCAAGAAGCCATTTACAGGACCTGTGTTAACCATCTCATCGAGGGGTGCTTTGAGGGCTATAATGCGACGGTGTTCGCATATGGGCAGGTATGCTTATAATAATAATAATAATAATATATATATATCCCTTCTGTGTCACAAGTGTTTTGCAATCTCTGGGTGTGTGTTGTAATCAGGTTTATGCTCGGTAAGAGCCTGCTTTATCTCAAGTACGCCAGATTATTCAGGAGCTATAACTTCTTCATAAACAAGAAAGTTATTGCTCCAAAACCCATTTTCATTTCTCATCCCCTCGTTCGCTAGACTGGCTCTGGGAAAACGTACACGATGGGCACCGGCTTCGACATGGAGCTCTCGTCGGAGCAAGTCGGGATCATCCCTCGAGCGATGAAGCATCTCTTTGAGGGGATCGATCGCCGCCGAGCAGATGCTCGAATCAAGGGAGAGTCTGCCCCCGAATTCAAAGTCACGGCTCAGTTCCTGGAACTCTACAATGAAGAAATCTACGATCTCCTCGACTCCAGTCAGACGCCTTATCGACGAGTGAGAGGAATCGCCCGTCGCTTTCGGAGTATTTCCCACGCAATTCGTATGCAGAACGACTTGCAAACCCTTTTTTTTTTTTTCAAGGGAACGAGATCGAACTTCAGGATCCACGAGGACCCAGTCGGTGGAATTTACGTTGCGGGGGTGATCAAGAAGCCCATCGCCTCGCCAGACGAGGCCCTGTCGCTCCTCCGGGTGGGGGCGCTGGCCAGGACGACGGGGAGCACGCAGATGAACTCGCAGTCGTCGCGCTCTCATGCGATCTTCACGATCTGTGTTATGCAGCAGAGGGTTACTAAGATTCAGGTTTGTGCTTTGGGTCGGCTTCGATGTCTGATTCGGGGCCAACGTTCAATACGTACCAGGTTTTGATCTTTGTTTGTCGGGAAATGGGAGATTGACGTTGGAAATGCTTTTAGTTGTAGAAAGGCTGCTCGAGACCCTAAAGGTTGCCATAAGAAAACGTCAACCTATAAGTAAAAAAAGTAAAATTGTAAGTACTGGCATCGATACCTCTCATTCGGAAGCTTGCCTTGCAGCAGGCGAACGGCGAAACCGTCGACGGCGAGGCCCCAAGCATCGAGGGCATGAGCGAGTTGGAGACCCTCACGGCCAAGTTTCACTTCGTGGACCTGGCCGGGTCGGAGCGGCTGAAGCGGACCGGAGCGACCGGCAGCCGGGCCAAGGAGGGCATCTCCATCAACTGCGGCCTCGTGAGTGGCTGGGCGGGTCCGGTCGGGCGTGGTGAGGTTCGGGGGGGTTCAGTGTTTTTTTAAATTTTTTTTCTGTAGTTGGCTTTGGGGAACGTGATATCTGCGCTTGGAGACACTTCCAAGAAGTCCACGTTTGTTCCATATCGGGACTCGAAGCTCACGCGACTCCTTCAGGATTCGCTCGGAGGTGAGAGACTCATCCGGCGGTTTCGGAGTCTCAGCTGTCGGGGACGACGACGTCACGATTGTTGAATGTTTATAGGGAACAGCAAGACCGTAATGATTGCCTGCGTGAGTCCGAGTGACCAGGATTTTGTGGAGACTCGCAGCACGATGAAATATGCGAACCGAGCGCGGAACATCAAGAATAAGATCACCGTGAACCAGGACAAGTCGAGCAAGACGATTGCCTTGCTCAGGCAGCAGATTCAGCAACTGGAGCTGGAACTGCTGGAATACAAACAGGTGGGGTGCCGATCATCAGAATGACCGCAGTTTCTTAAGAGTAGAGTTTCTTTCCTGAGAAATCTCCATGCGAAAGATGAATCGTGAGATGCAGATTCGCTGGGGGGCAACCTGGATATAATAATCATATAATTATAATTAATAATCATATGATTAATTATAATCGAATTAATTTCGTAGGGGAAACGTGTGATCACCGAAGATGGATCCGAGGCAGTGAACGACATGTATCACGAGAACATGATGCTGCAATCCGATAGCAACAACTTGCGAATCCGTATCAAGGCTCTGCAGGAGACTGTTGAGAATCTGACTCAGAGAAATCAGCAGTTGATGTTCGAAAGGGACCAGGGCCTTTGGATGACCGATTCTAGTCATGGTTAGTGGAGTCGTAGCGTCATTCTGTGGAGGTTTCAGAATGGAAGGGTGAGTCTGGTTTTTTTTTGTGGTGCAGATGGTGCATCTGACATGAGCCAGGTTGTTGGCCAGTACCTGATGGAGATAGAAACGTTGAGGGGCAAGCTCATAGAATCGGAGTCCACCTGTGAGCAGCTCCGAAAGACGGCATTTCGGGGGGGGAGACTTTCGATCACGGCACCTCCTGGCATGACCCGAAGTTCCATTGGTGGTGAGGAGATTTATTATTATTATTATTATTATACATTTGGTGGTTTTTCAGAAGGTAGAGCATGGGCTCATCTAAACATTGGAAACATTTATTTTTATCCTTGCCAGTAGCTGATGGTGAAAGCGTGAAGGACATGGGTCTGGAGCCTTCCATTCGCATGCTTCTGGCAGAAGCCAAGAAGGAGATAGAGGAGAAAGAAAACCTACTCAGAGTAAGGGGCAGCAAAACTCGGATCTCTCAAGAGGGAGACGAGAACGAGAACGAGGACGGAGACGAAGCGGAGCTTGCCGACGCGGAGGAGAGCTCTGACTCGGACAATAAAGGTCATTTGGCTATCTCTGCCCATTTGTTTGGGACTGCCTTAACTAGTGAAACATGGTGAAATGTTAGCTGAGGAGTGGGTGCATGGAATGGAAGATACAACTGGATATTCCATAACTGGTTTTGATGCATGATATGGTCATATAAGGCATGACTGTTATGCATGATTTAGGGGAATGTTACTGTACTTGTTTGTCTCAAGGTTCTGGTTGGTCCTTTTCTCATTCTCTGATTCTTCCATCTAGATGAAGATACCTGCGATGATGAGGACATAGTCCAATCAGGTAAAAGTGGCTACTAACCCTCTCATTTAGGCTTTTCTCTTTTTTATCATCTCCTTTTACTGCTTCTTTATCATCTGCATTTGGAAATGGCAATTTTCTCTTGCTTGCACTGTGCATCCTGCCAAATTCCTTCAATCCTCCCTTTTCTGCAGTATTTCTGTTCTTTTCACAGGGAATGTCAGCTTTTTGCATGGAAGAACATGCTTGTGGTGATCTTGAAGAGCTTGACTGCATTAAATATGCAGTCGTTATTCAAAATTTGATGTAAAATATTAAATATATATATATTTAAAAAAATTAAAACCCTCCCAAGTTGCTCATTTGTATGAAAATTGCTGAATTTTTTTCATTTTTAGAGTGTTGAATTTCATGTGGTGGGTGATGTCTGTTGGTGCCATTAATGTTGAACTAGAGCAGTGGTTCTCAAACTTTTTGAGCTGGGAGCCACATCCAAGCATGACTAACTTTATCCAGGCTGCACTGAAAAAGGGTTTATTGATACTGATGAAAAAAATCCGCTCTTACTGAAAATTACTTTTTGTCCCCACAGGCCACAGTTTGAGTATCGCTGAACTAGAGTATCTTAAACAGTGACCTAGTACATTTGTTGCTCACTGCAGTAGTTCATTTGAAACTCAAGCTTTGCATACACATAAAAAATTGAACACCTCCATGTGTTGGTATGGTCACATTCTGGTTGCTTATTTTGAGCCATAAAGTATCTTTGAGAATGGCCTTTGCATGCCTTTCTGGTTAGAGCCAGATAGGTCTTAGAAATCTTGTTTCAAATTAGCCTGTTAGCTTTAATTATTGTCTTTGTTAATTCATGCTTTTGTGTAAACAGTCTTTTCCCTTTATTCCAATTGATGAATTCAATCCGCTTTGAGTCCTTTCTTAGCTTCATATCGACATGAAAAATACATTGAGAAATGTATTCTTCATTTCGATGAGATTTTTAGTTTTTCTTTTAGCTGATTTTTAGTTCTTTCTGTTTGATGGAATTGTGCTTCTGCTTCAATCTTTTTTGAAAGTAACTAGTTTTTTATTTATTTTTATTTTTTGCTGCATAGTCTCTTCCTTCAAGTAGCTCTTTATTTGCTTACACATTTCTTGTCCTATGAAGTAATTTCATGAGAGGAAATTTAGAGACCCTTGTATTTCATCAATGCAGAAAGCCTGCTGCTGGAATCTGAAGAGGCTCTGGCCGAGCTGACTCAAGAGATGAGTTTGAAACGCCAGCTCATTGAGCAGCTAGAACTAACTCAGAATAAGTACATGGCTATGAGGGAACAGTATGAAAGCAAACTGCTACAGCTCAAGGAGTGCATTCGACAGACCGAGGAAGAACGAGACCGTGTCCTCTCCACAATAAGTGAGTGTCTTTTGAGGTCTGCTCTATCCCCCTTCTGGAAGGTATTAATTCCAATCACTGTTTTCACTTATGCAGATGTGACATCATCTGAGAGTGAAGAGAAGGTCAAGAAAGTGAAGGCTGAGTACGAGAAAAAGATTGAGGACCTGCAAAGAGAATTGAAAAGCATGCAGAAGGCAAAGCGAGAGCATGCCAAAGTCACACGGGAAAACAGCCAGCTCGGGACCCAACTGAAGAAGCTACGCAATGACCTCGAGCAGCTGAAACACACCAAAGTGAAGCTCATGAGTAAGATCAAAGAAGAGGCACAGAGGAACAAGGTGCTAGATCAGAAGCGCACCAAAGGTGAGCATTTTTAATTGTCCTACTTTTGGAAATGGAATGAGGATGAACCTGACTACTTCTGAATGCTTTTCACAGAAATCTCCCAACTGCGAAAGAACTTCAGAATCCAAGAGAATCAAATTACGAAGCTGGAATCAGAGAAGCGAGTGAGGGAGGTGGTGCTGAAGAGGAAGCAGGAGGAGGTTGCTGCTCTAAGAAAGATTGTGCGTGGCCCTATGAGTGAGAAAGCATCTGGTCGAGTGGCAGGGAAGCAGCAGCTTGCCAACTCGGTCCTCGCATCGCCGAAGGCCATGAAGTCTCGCTGGCTTCAACTTGAGAAGGGAATCACCGAAGTAGCCCTGAATAAAAGGACTCTCTCAAACCTAGAACGAGACATGGAGAGGTCTGGTAACAGTTCATGATGCTAACCATCATCAGAAGTAGAGTCAATTTCAAGGAAGTTGTTTCATGTCACAGGTACTTACAAGATCGGGAGCAGTTGCGCCGTCGCCTGGAGCTGGTATCCCGCAAACGAGACGAGGAAATCATGGGCTCAAGGGATGAAGACCGTATCCATGATCTGGAGGAGGAGATGGAGAACCTCAATTCCCACATTGCTTACATCAACAGCAACATCACGGACTGCCAAGAGAGCATCTCCCAGCTGGACCGTGAAAACTTGCCTGATCACACTGATCTGGATGGACTTCTCATCTCACTTGACGATGAGGCCCGCTATCTCGTGGAGAAACTCGTTTCCATGGCCATCAATCAGAGCTTTGCAGCCTCCCAGAATGAGGCCATGTTTCGGGAGAAGGAAAATGAACTCAAACAGGTGCTGTAGCATCCCATCTTCCTTTACTTTTTGGTTGTAATATTTCCCTGTTTTTACTATATGGATTTTGTTTGTGCTATTCATAGATTATGTATGACAATCGGATGAAGGAGGAATTGCTTGAGCACCTCTGCCAAAGGCAGGATGATCTCCGTTGTTTCCCTAAACCAGCTGACTGGGATGACATCATGGAAGGAAAGACTGATTCAGAACCTGAACCTGAACCTTTACCTCAGTAAGCTATTATCCTGACTATAGTATATTTTTCCAAGGAATATATTTAAGAAGGATCCTCTACTGATGTAGACTCTATGCAATTTTTAATAGATATGACGAGGTACAGCAGATAAGGCCAAAAATTAGACGGAAGACAGCAACTCTTGAAGAGCTGCTCTCCCAATCAAAGTCAAATCACCCTTCCCCAATCATGGAAGAAGATGAGAATCGGTAAGGTTATTACAGCCCTGGGTAATTCAATTTTTAATGCAAAAAATTGACTGTCAGAATGTATCATCTGATATTTGATATTTGACTCTTCAGAAACAAGAGCCCTCCAAAGGCAAGGCGAGTCTTGACTCTGGACAGCTTGAAGATGGTTCAATCTGCTCCAGACATGCATACATCCCCAGTTCAAGATACACGTAATCGACTCTTCATCCCGCCATCCCCAAAGCGGGAAAAGAAGATGCCATCTCCCCACTCCCAGCCTCTCCTCATGCGTCAGATATCTGGCAACAGTTCTTCAGGGTTTGTAATATTGATTTGTTCTTGCACTACAAGCCCTGCTATTTGAAAACCTCAAAGGCCTTGCTCATGTTTATGGTCATCTTACGTGATCCCAGAACCTTGTCCATTGATACCTCTTCGGTCTTGCACTTGTTCTTCCTGAACCAATATCTTCCTCCCTACCCAGCCTAGTATGCAGTTCATTCTATATACCAGAGTTTCTCAACCTTTTTTCCATGGGAGCCCTAAGTGGTCCTCCCCAAGATTTTCAAGAGTCTCAATGATGGGCAATTCAAAAACACTCTTGTGTTGCTTATGATCCCTGCATGTATATCAATGGAAGAAAAAATGAGTGAGTTTGATAGCCCTGGGCTTCTCAAGAGTCCCCAAATTTATTCAGTGAACCCTTTGGGATTTGCATGCCCCAGGTTGCAAAACTCTGCTATATTACTTTGAGAATGTACTTGATCTTTATGTTAAGTTAGTGTTTTTGCAGCAGTGACAATGAGGACTGCATAGTAAGGCCTTTGAGGCCATGGGCATGGCAACCAAGGATGCCTAATTACTTACCTCTGTCCTGCACTCCCCACTGTTCTCCTATTCATTCACCTAGTTGTAGTTCATGATTACATGATTCAATTACAGTTACATTACATGATTCCTCCTTGCACAAGCCACTCCCCTCACATATAGAATCTGTTTCTAATGTGTTCCCTAGATTGTCCTCTCAGAGTACAGGGTGTAACTGTTCCTTCATTCTGCAGGGAGACAGAAACAGCAACAATCACCATTAGCAGCAGTCCATCTTCACCAGCATCCATGCGTCGTAATGAGAACGTTTTCTCGCGTCTGTCGGTGATGCCAAAGCGTCCTGAGAGCCACAGGGAAAGGGGAACCATCAAATCAGTTGGCCAACGGTCTGGACGACTTTCTAATTGGCCCCTCATCCCTACCCACAAAGCAACTGGGCACACCAAGGCTGTTCTCTCAGTCTTTGCCACAGAGAATCTCCTCTTCAGTGCCTCTAAAGGTCTGAATATAAGACATTCATGTTATGTTGTTTACTATGAGCACATTTGAACTTGAAAATCACTGTCAGATCCTACCCTGCTTGAATTTTCATGCTGTTATGCTTATTTCAGACCGAACAGTGAAAGTTTGGGACTTAAACACTGGTCAGGAGATCTCAACACTTGGTATTCATCCCAACAATGTGGTGAAGGTCAAGTATACTGAAGATAAGAATCTTGCCTTCACTGCCTCTGCATCTTATATCAGTGTTTGGGATCTCAGACTTGGACCTTTCCAGTGCATCAAGACCCTAACGTGAGTCCCACTCTGCTGATCATTGACATGCCTGTCTCATGAAGATCCAAGTTTTGAACAAATTGTTTGCATCGATAGGTCCTCGGGCATGGCCCAGACTGGACCCTTGCATCTTGCCACTCCATCCAGAATTGCTCAGATGCCAGCTGGGGAACATCCCATCAATGACATTTCTATTGGTGCAGGAGGGAACTGTCTTTTTGCTGCCTCCAGTGATAAAGTCCGTGTGTGGGACCTTCGAAGGTTGGTCGTGTTTCAGTTCATTCCTGCTATTCATTGATCTTGCATGTGGCCATAAAGTGATTTATTTTGGTCAGGTTCGAGGCATATGGAAAGCTCAGTGGTGGGCACCAAGCTGCTGTCATGTGCCTTGCTGCATTAGATGATTCATCTGGGAAAGTCACTATTGCAACTGGCTCCAAAGATCATACTATCAAGGTAGGTCTAAGATGTCATATTGGGCATTTGTATTAAACAATCTTGGGCTGCATCATATGTGAATGATTCTGATTCACAGGTGTTTGAAGTCCCCAAAAACTGCTCTGGCATGGTGACTCCTACATTGAATCTACAGCCCCCCCACTATGATGGGATTCAATGCCTTGCCCTGCAGGACAACATTCTCTTCTCGGGGTCTCGTGATAAGAGCATTAAGAAGTGGGACTTGTCCTTGGGACAGCCAGTGCAAAGTCTGAACAATGTCCATCCCGACTGGGTGATGGGGCTCACGTTTGCTCCTCCTTTTCCGTTGTTGCTCTCCTGCTGTCGCGGCGGTAACATCCGCGTCTGGAACGTGGACACCTGCGACCTCCTCGGGGACATGAAGGGTCACGAATCTCCTATCAATGCCATCACCACCAACTCCTCATGCATCTTCACGGCTTCCAAGTATGTTGTAGAGCCTACTTTCTTTACTTCTGGGGGGCTGGAGTGCATCAGCCTCCTTCATTGAAGAGTAATGACTTTCCATTGCAGTGAAACAGTCTGGCTCTGGAAGCTTTCCAGAAACTTCCATCGCCTCAACACCCTCTCCCGATCCATTTAGTTCCCTCTTACCCGTATTTATTTTGTCCCCAATTCCCAGTTTATTAAGTTTTCTTTAGTTTGTTTTTTAGTTTGTTATCCTCCGTTTCCTTCACCATTTAGCGATTGTTCTGTGATGCTGTGGCGACTCCGGGACTCCATGGCCTCCGAGGAAGGAAGTGATTGTAGCGAGAGCACCTAGAGCAGCACAGAAGCAGGTCAAGAGCTGTGATGTACCTTATCAGTGAGCTCAACTCTCAAGCAAGAGGTTGTGAACCCATGTGTGATTTTTATTAGTCTCCACCCTTCCAAACCCTTTTTGTCTTGGTCTTCCTAAGCATCTGGAATCTCTTCGTCCTTCCTCATGTGTGAAGCTCAGGGAATCATCATTGTTGTGAAATGTGACCAAATCAAGGTCTTTTTTTTTGAGCAAAATGGATACTAGATTTCACCTTTCACATCACTTCACATTTATGATTTTTTTTCTATTCTCACATCATAGTAGATTTTATTGGCTTCCAATTCCAATCAAGAGCATTCCCATCTTCATTAACTAGTGAATGTCAAGGACTGGTCTCATGCCACATTCCAGTGAAATGCCTGGGACCATGACAGCTTGGAGGCAATGAAGAATTTGATCTATTTGTGATATTCTGCACTGCATCGACTAGACTCCTGGTATTAATAATTAAATAAATCCTAGATATTCATATCAAAAGCCCATTTGATGCAGTTAAATGATTTAATCGAACAAATGGTTTTATTTTTAGAGAGATTTCTTTTCCTGATATTCAATTTTCCCTTGTGATGGAAATTTCCCAGATTTGAATAAAAGGAATTCTTAGATGAATTTATTTCACTTTGTTTCCTGATCCGTCCTGTAATACATCACATACAGCACAAGAAAACCAGAGGAAGAAATAAAATAAAAATAAAAACTTCAGGAACGAACCTCAATCAATGAAGTTTGTGCAAAGTGGAGTGGTTCCGCTAGTATTCACAAATAGGGTTTAGCAGCATTACTGTCTGTAGTCAGGGAATGTATGTTATTAACACAGAATAGGGTCCCGTCCGAAACACGGAGTTCTCGAGTTTCGGACCGAACAATCTGCCTGACCACTGGCTTATGAAAACCTCGCACCAAAAATCCGTGATTGCTTCCCGAATGTAACCGCGATACATAAATCGTTTTCAATTCGACGGAATGATTCTACTTGAAACAGGCCAGGAGTTCTTTTGTTTCCATTGTGGTTTTTCTTTCGTATGCAATGCTAGTTGGCACGTGGTCAACCCTTTACATGACGTTTTCTCAAGGAAACTTTTTAAATATGTCGAAGATATATACGGACAGCAGTCCTATACCCGGAAACACCCGCCACCTAGTCTGGGAAAAAAAGCATTCACGAGCCAACTTTGCCTTGAGCTCAGTGCTCCCGTGCTTATTCCCATATTAATTTCCAGGGAGAGAAGGCAATAAAAGAAAATACTTTCTCTTGTTCTTGCTTGTAACCGCAAATATCGTAGTTTCTTCCAGATATTGCGGTCTGGCAAGAGTTTCATCCTCCGTATTCCCAGTCATCTCCGCCTCGACTCCCTTTCAATTGAGTCTATGAAATGTGAAATTCTGGGAGACGAGGACAGAACGCGATCACTTGAAGGCAAAATCTCTCATCGCAAAGCACAAGAGGTCTATTACCACGCATGTTTTCACATGGAGCACAGTTTGTTGAGAAGAGCACGTCATGCCCATTTATAGCCATCGCTATACCCACTTTGATGAAGCTGTTTGCCTCAGCTTTTCCCAATATCGGAGATGCTCATCGACCCCCACTGACACGAATCGTGCAACAAATTCCATTTTTGGACAACTCAAACATAATACCCCTGATCGTATAGGGTTGCGTGCAGAGCGAGTCTCCAGAATATTATCCAGTGCCTTCACCAGCGGTTCTCAACCCGTCTTGGTGGGCATATTTTAGAGGAGAGAAAGTAAGAATAAATAAATTGATAAGGAAATCGTGCTGCCTTGATTTTAGGGCTCACCAAAAAACCAGTGGCTTGTCCTGATCCGCTCGGGTTGTTATACTAAATTTTCATGAGAATCAGTAGGTCAGGGCTTTTTGCTATTATTTATATTTATTGTTTATGGAGATGCATTAAATCGGATTTAAAAGAAAGTGGTCCTTTCGTTTTGTCCCTCTCTATACTTGGAATTTCTTTCAGTGCCAGGGGTAGTTGATTATATAATCTCACAGAAGTTGCATTAATTGACAGCTCGGGATTTCAAATGCACCAAAATTTGTCGAGTGGAATGTCTAGTTGCATGATAATGTATCTTTTTAGCTGAGTTGTACCTTTTTGTTATATGGCTTATGATGCATATCATGGAAGAGTTACACAAAGCGCATAATTCACAAGATCTGGGAATGTCAGAAGCTGCCAACCGTTATAATGAGATTTATGCGACTAACAAGTTCAGAACCCGTAATGAATAAAGCTTCCTTCCCCCCTCTCCACCCTTTGTCTCCTCGATCCCCTCACGACCCACCGCTCGAGACCCACTGGCGCCCTCACACAAAAGCCCCCTCCATCCAAACACCCAAAGACACGACGGAATCCCTCCCACCCTTAAAAACAAGAAGAAAATCCTCCCTACCCACGCGCCAGCAGAAGGAGGCTTTCTCCTTATGACGTCACGCGCAGGCCTCGTCGCCCCTCCTCGCTACGAAGCAACGAGTATGCTCAATGACTGGAGGGAAGGATGGAGAAACTGGATCAGCTTTGAAAGGAGCCGGAGGAAAAAATATACGATGAGTCTGACGTAAAATGTTCTGAAGGCCACCATAGGGGCCTTTGAACACTTCTATGAATGCAAAGAACTCCTTATCTAAGCATCCCGTGTGGTCTAGTGGCTAGGATACCTGGCTCTCACCCAGGAGGCCCGGGTTCAATTCCCGGCACGGGAAATATCTTTTTCTTTCTTACTATATTTTCGTCATTTCAATGTTTTAGGGTAAGAAAACTCTCCTATCCTCGGTTCCTTGCGAAGACCAAATCGGAAAAAAATTGATGCTATCGCGGAGGTAGATCGAAACGTCCTGCCTGAAATTCCGCCCTGAAATTTGAATATTCAAATTTCGTCGCATCCATGAAGAATGCAACCGTTTCGTCCGATGGCCAGCTCACGCGTTCAAAAAACTTTCACAAAAAAACACTCCTCTGCTTTCCGCAAGGAACAACTTCCAAAGATATATTTCTTTCAATACAATAATAATAATAATAAATATGCTCTGAAAAAAAAAACCTTTTCTAGGGATATATCTCACAACTATATTGAGGCACTTGAAGAAAATGTGAATTTTTGGAATAACCAATTTTTGACAACAAAAAGTACTGTTCCGAAAAAAAAAGTCACACATAGTCATATATCGTTGGAAAGATCTCAAGCCTCATCTTTCTAATGACACTACGACTGACACCGTAAATGCTCCGCCCCATCGAAAAATACTCAACCAAAGCTGATCAAAAATGAGAAATTTCCGATTTTCGATTTAGTCTCTCTTTTGGTTAAGCCAGGTAAGTTAAACCAGGTAAATTGCTTTATCAATGCACCTGGGATAGGAGTGGAACCGAGTGCAACTTACCGCATCGAGATATTTGTCGTTTCCCTCGCCGCATTTGGGGTCAAAATTGCCTAAATTTCACATCTTCAAATTCAAGAATACTGCTGAAACCTCATTCAAGCTGAAAGGATGTATGAATGGAATTATTTACCATATTGAAGAGCACCGGTTGAAACAACAGCACGCCTCCGCACGATGCACGTTTCCTGATATGTAAATTTTGCCGTCCGTGGGGTTTTCCCGTTTTGTTCCAAAAGTTCTTGGGGGTGGGGGGGGGTGATATCGTCAACCTCACATTCGATTATTATTCTTTTTTTTACGGCGTTGTTGGATAAATTGCATTCGCATATAATTTTTTATAGCGATATCCGAGATGATCGAGCTCACTGCCTAGTCGAGTTCATACGGAATGACCCGTATCTGAAGGCCACCGTTGGGACCCTCAGTGAATCACTTCCGTGAATGCAAAGATCTTCTTATCACAAGATCCCGTGTGGTCTAGTGGCTAGGATACCTGGCTCTCACCCAGGAGGCCCGGGTTCAATTCCCGGCACGGGAAAGGAACTTTTTTTTATTATTTCAGTGCTTTGGAATAAAAGAAAACTCGCCGAGTCTCTGGCCCGTATGCAAAAACCTATCACATGATAGCCTATTACATGGTAGCTATCATGATAGGTATCAGGCGATAGGTCTATTATTTGCTCATTTCCGTATGCAAGAACAAATTATAGGTATCCATCGTGAGGCCTATTATGATAGGTATCTTCATACCTATTACCATAAAAGGTATTTTATACCTATCATGATAGGTATTCGTGAATCTTCCTGCTGACAACCTCCTATTCATCGTCTCCCGCCCTCAAAATAGCTTCTTTTTTTTTATCGGTTTCATACGTTCTTGCATACCAGTCTCTGTTCCTTGCCAATACCGTCCTGAAATTTGCGCATGCAAGTCCACCCGTAACGAGAAATGGGGTTCGGAAAAAAAAATTCACCCGATGTGAAACCGCAGAAGACCTGTTTGAAGTTCAATCTTGCTTTTAAAATAAAAAAATTGGTATTAAAAATTTTTTTGTAAATGTTGGGTATATTATTCGATCGCTATGGGCGTCTGTAATTCGCGTTTTAAAAAATATATTTTTTTTTGGCTGCTTATACACGAGAATTAGTATTCAATAACTTAAGCTATGGTTAGGGTTAAGCAGATTGCCTTACATGCAATTGGAGTAAATCAAATAATTTTTCCAATAAAATAAAAGGTAGAATGTTTTTTTTTTCCAGTTATTATTGGGATCCTATTAATGCTCAAATTTTATGAATAAAAATATGAGAGACTTTATTGTAATGCGTTCAAAATGTTTAAAGAAACTGGAGCAGACCAATGGAGACTATCCAGCCTTTCTGCGTTGTTTCGCTTGGATGCCGCTTTATGGTGATCAACAAGATTAGTCCAGCTGCGACCGCCATTTTCACTTCACTAAGAATAAAAAAAAAAGAAATATATATATATTTAAATCTTACATCCGGCCAAATATCTTGGGAAAATGCTGCGAAATTCAAAAGTAGTCTTGATGGGCCAAAAGCTCTCTAGGAATCCTCAGACTTGTAATTACGTAAGGAAAGGGAATTATCATCATCCCGTATGGTCTAGTGGCAAGGATACCTGGCTCTCACCCAGGAGGCCCGGGTTCAATTCCTGGCACGGAAAGATCTTTTTCGCATTAATTTTTTAATTATTACTCCAGTGTTTAGATTCCTAGTACTCATCGAGCCTCTGTTCCCAACGAGGACCAAATCGAAAGAGACGATTTCATAATTGTGGAAAAAGATGGAAACGTCAGAATATCGTCCTGGAATTGGAATAATTTCGGAACCCTTCAGTCCACCTCTAATCCCTTCTCCATTCCCTCTTTCGGTACTTCCATCTTCATACTTCATCCAGTTTTTTTTTTTTGCATTTATTGGCATCCTTGAAAACGGGAACTGGCCTGATGGCCAGCCTACGAGTGTTTACTGCCACAAGGAACTCATAAAACGCGAAAGAGACGCTTCTTCGTGTTAGCGTTCTCATTTCTGGAGACACAAAAGTAACCTTTTTTTTTTCTTACAGCGTTCAACCTGGCACATTTTCGTGTCGCAAAGAAAAAATATACACGGGACGTGGAATAAAACACCCGAGGAGTGAAAAACGCAATCA